CCCCCCCACATGAAAACACTGCACCCGGGGCAGCTGCCCCTCCTGTCTCCTCATCCCCCTCGCCCTGATGCTCCTTATTGGCACCTGTGCACTGAGGAACAACTCATTGGCTTCTTATGCTGCTTCATCCTCTCCTGTTCTAAGCCCTGTGGTACAAGGGATTGCAACAGGCTGATTCCAAGTCAAAGCCAGGCACTTGCACTGCTTTCATTTACAAAAAATATTTCATGATGTAATAATGAATACAGATCTGCATTCCATTGTGTCAGTTTTATGTGTTTTGAGTTCAGCTTTATAGCTAAATTCCAGAATAAGCAAATATTGCCTAAATACAAGAGCTATACGTATTCATGCTTGAATCTTGGTCTGCTTTCTCCATTTCTTCCAGATCTGTGCAGTAATTCAATGTGAAACTCTGTGCAGGAGCTTCCTGTAATAAGGACTGCTGCTCTCTCCTTGTACAGGATGACTGGTCTTGTCTCCGCCCCCTCCTGTAGTTTTCTGCAGACAGCCTGTACTAGGTGGTGCTGCTGGGTCACTCCCACAACTCTGTACAGCCTAAGTGCAGCACAGCAATTATATCTCTGCTGCATTTATAAGGTAATAACCTTATGCAAAGGCATTTGGTGCACACAAAGTGGATTTATAACCTTTTGTTCCCACAAGCTGAGCACCGAGATGCGATGCAGCGATCCTGCCCAGCGCCGACTACGAGGTGCACCGCGTGAGGCAGCAGGGATCGGAGTGAAACTGTGAGTGAGGGAAGCTGGGACGGGGCTGGCTGTAAATCTATTGCTATAGTGTACTGGACGTGTGTAATGTATATGTAGTACATATATACAGCACATACCTCCACTACACTACAGCAATAGAGTTACAATTCTCCATTGCTAACATGAATAGGTTAAATCATGATCCATAGTACATAACATGTAGTTGTACTATGGATCATTTAAAGTCACCTGTCCCTTAAGAAAAAGTATCGGTAATTGGTATCGGCAAGTACATGAGGGGAAGTACTTGTACTTGTACTTGGGCCTGAAAAAGTGGCATCGGGACATCCCTATTTGTGGTTATAAAGAAATTCTATATATTTCAATGTTTTTTTTGGTGCCTGGAGTTCAGTTTTAAAGAAGTTCTAAACCCTAACCAGATACTGTTTTTTCTTTATAACATTTACCATTGTGTGAAATACTGTTTCCACCTGTTCTTATCCCTTTTGCATCTCATTGCTGCTGATTACCTCCAGGCTGTTTGCTGCCACCTCTGCATCCATGTTCTACCTACATAGGGTTAGCTTCCTGCAGGAGAAAATGACAGAACATATCTGTGTGCTTTTACAGCATTGGCACAGCTGCTTAAAGCATCCACTGGAAACACATGTGATAGGGTGACAATGCAGGAGAGAAGCCGGGAGACAGGACAGAGCATTGTCACCACATAACAGGAAGTGTCTAAACAAAGACCTTAAGGTATATTGTATATACCTTATATAGCATTCATTGGGCCTGATTTTCTGACATGTGAAGTGTGGTAAAGTGAAGTGGTCCTGTACTTGTTTTCTTAAATTCTCCTGCACATAACTGGATGTGTGTGAAGTGCACACAGGTTCAGTTAAATCAGGTAGGCAACCTCAATACTCCAGCTGTTGGGGAACTACAAGTCCCATGAGGCATTGCAAGACTGTGAAAGTGCCAGGCATGACTCCCAGCTGAAAACCCCCCAAAATAGTTAACGTTTGCTTTATTAAAGCTGGAGTTTTACTTTAATACCCTATCAGAACCCCGCAGAATAATACCCTAAACCCCAAACTTTCTTGCATGGCTACTTCTTCAGAGTATCAATACATTAGTTAAAGTGTGTGTATAGCCCAAACTTTTTTTTTAGTTTTGGATAGAGTAGGGAAGGTTAAACCCCTTCCAGGTAATTTGTTTGCTGTCTGTGTAACATTGGGGACATTTCTCTTTACCCCCTATCCCAGAGATAGAACAAGAAGTTAGTGAAGATCTATAAAAGTGAGGGGAATTCCCCTCTTAGGCATGGTTCCCACCTGGGCGTTTTACAGCGCGTAAGAACGCGCTGCAAAACGTCCTACGCCCAAAGAATACAGGAGCTTCTTTGGGGCGTATTTGCCGCGCATATCCATTGGGATACAGCCAGGTAGCCCTCGTAAACATGCGTTTTAACCGCAAATTGCGGCAAACGCGCATATTCTGTACCCCCAGGTGTGAACCCAGCCTTAGACAGTTGTCTCCGAAACAAGCCTCCCATTAGAAGATTTCCCCTCAGCTCTTGTTCTGGTGACAACTCCAACATTTTTCTTTTCTGACTTTGAGTCTCAGTGACAACGGCCAACAGGAAAACCAGAATCTTCCCAATGGGCACTCCGGCAGAGGTAAAACTTTTACCGAAGGTCTAACCCTTCCTAACATAATCGATAAGTAAAATAACAGGTTTTGCCTTAAACTGACATTAAACCCTCAGATTTTTTAACATAAACCAATACTGTAATGTGTGCCTTACTGCAATCCATGGTAGTTTCCCTTCTCTTTGCTGCTCTTCCTTTTTAAATCCTCATGTCTTCTCATGCTGGGGGAGAACTTCCCTTTGCAGCTCAGGGCCTCTTCATGTAGTGCTGGCTCAGGTTGCAAACCTACACGCAGACACCATGTATCCATTCCAGAGACAAGGCAGTCTGCTGCAAAACAGAAGTTCTGTCCAGCATGAGAACAGATACAGATTTAAAAGGAAGAGCAGCAAAGAGAAGGGAAACAACCATGGATTACAGTAAGGCGCACATTACAGTATTGTTTTATGTTAAAAAATCTGAGGGTTTAATGTCACTTTAATATACACTTATGAAATAAGATTATGATAAATGATATGATAAATGATAATACTTAATAAAACACCAAATATAACATTTTCATCTCACCTTGCGGGCCATCTCTTCCTTTTCATCCTGGAAGCTGGCCACAAACTCATAGATCTTTTCCCACTCTTTGAAGTACTGGTCATGTAATCCTCCCCCTCCTGAAAACAGCCCCCATATCCTGTATGGTAGGAGGAGAATCTTCTCCATCAGAGCACTAAGGCTGGGGAAGAAGCTCAGCCAATTTAGCAGAGTCCCAATGCTTTCCGCGACATAGCTCACGGTACGACTTGTATTAAGCAGTGCACTGTAAGTCAGGGGGGCAGTGAAAGCCAGGTAGGCCAGTCCAACACGATATAGGCGAAGACTGAGGTTCTCATTCTTTCGCTGCTGCGATCGATAGTGACGATTTTGTTGGGAGGTAATACTGGCAGCAAGACTAATGGGGATCATGGAGACAGCACGCCCATAAAATAGTGGGGATGTCAAGAAAGCAGCCACCAATGTGTTCTGCAACTTCGAGGTTTGCTCACCTGCACAAGCCACAAGATGAACTCCCAACGCAACTGCAAGCGGCAGGACTAACACATAGTAACTTGTAAGAGTGGATAGTCCAATGGCAGCCACTAGACCAAAATAAATGCCAGTGACTACTTGTGCCATAAACTGAACGATACTTGCAGGTGGTATTCCTTCCTTAAGTTCAATTGTTTTCTTGCGTTCCTCTTTATTGTATTTGGATACAAGTCCAGGAATCTTCCAAAAGTCCCACATCCACCCTACACCAAATCCCCCCACAGTAAGCATCAGAAGCAAAGCATGCCTGTCACGTTCCAAGTATATGTGGTGTAGTCCAAGTGGACCACCTATGGCCCACAGGCCATAAGCAACTATAAGTCGTTTTCCCATTCTGGTCAAGTACAAAATGTCCAGGTAATTTAAAGAAAAGGTTGTTTAACACATGTTGCTTAGTGCTCAAGAAGAAAATGTTACTTATCCACATGAAGTGTTTCTCTCGGTGAACTGCCTTGCACATAGACTTTGCCCCTTTCAACACTGGTTGCAGCACTGAGCGCAGCAATCGGCCCAAAGGTCATTGATATACCTGGTACATCTAGTCCTGCCCTCAGCCACACAGTCAGCACACAGGACAAGCAAGTAATCATATTATCCCACTGTATGGAATATTACATTTGTAAAGGCTCATTCACACCATGGTGTTATAGTGTAGTTTACTTCTCCTCCAACAAGTACACTTATTTGTAACAATTATACAGTACTTTACACATACAAAATATTTTATATGGTGCATCTGCAAGCAGAACACACAATACAGCATGTATGTTTTACATTCAGTACATGTTAACCCATCCATCAGTATACCAGGAGGCCTCCCCCCAAGAAGGAGTTTAAGATAAAGTGAGGCAGTTAAAAAACACATGCTAAACACAAATATAAATGCTTATTTTTAAAGGAGAACTCCAAGTTGTAGAAAAATGAACTCTAGGGCCTCGTTCACACAGACACAGTGCGTTCTGGCCCGATTTAAGCCAGATCGTACTGCATCGCATTGCTGCTGGCTCACTATGTTGTGGGGCAGGAGGGGGCATGGTGGTCCATTGAAGTGAATGGCACCGTAGCCACGCCCCCCGGCTGCAATGCGATTGGCCACACGGGAACGCAAGGCACATAAGCCTGCAGTCCGGTCCGAACAAAGTAGTGCTTGCAGCATTTTGTTCGGACTGCGTGCCTAGAGTGCCATTCACTTCAATGGACCGCCACACCCCCTCCTGCCCCACAACATACTGAGCCAGGCGCACGATGCAGTGCCTCCTGGCCAGAATCGGGCCGGAACACACTGTGTCTGGTGTGAATGAGGCCTAAAGCCTGTGGTACACTGCAAAGCTGCAAGGCTCAGACGTTCTCATGCAGTGTGTAAGAGCAACGCGCCAAATGAACGACTTCATCTTCAGCCAATCAGCTTGCACGTAACAACTGAATGGACTTTGCATCCACATTGAGTGGTAGTGTCTTCCAAAAAGAATGTCGCTGCAACACGCTAACATACTTACCATTGCGTTGCGATAATGGGCATGTTACCCAAACACAATGCAATGGAAAAGTGTGGGCCCTAACAGAACTGATCATATATTTCTCATTTAATCTAATACATACAGCAAATTCCCAAATTACATTCACTACACAACAATTGCATAGAAAGTAAGTTGCACACTAATTGCACTGAAACTGCACAATGATTACTAATAACAAAGGTAAACAGAAATGTATCAAAATTGGAGCAGACAGAATCTGAAGCAGTTGTCCATGACAACCAATCAGGATCTCATTTCAGTTTGTTCAGTTAAGCTTGAAGAAATTAATTAATGAAAATGAAAGAGAGAAGCTGATTGGTTGCCTTGCACAGCTGCTCCAGATTCTGTCTGATCTAGTTTTGATCATTTCCCATCAATGTCAATAACAGACATGCAGATCCCAGTTGTCATTTTGCTTGATAGCTATTGTTTTTCTAAATCCTTTCTGGGGTCTGTTTATCCTCTATTGAGAGAGACGTTCACCAATGGACCAGCAGAGGGCATTACAACATCATATTAAGCTCTTGGCAGTTGGAATCCTGAACTGCAGCGTAAAAACAAGTATGAAAACACATAAAACATTGACATGCTCTCAGATACGTTACACCAAATATCAACACAATAAACAAGTTGTGTTCAAAATGATTGTGTTTGGTTAGTTTTGGCTCTCTAAATGATTTCCATTCTTTCAATTCTTGGGATATCTGTCTGGTTTAGTGCCTAACAGACATCAACAAGAATCATTTGACTAATTTCAAAGCTACAAAATTCCAATATTGCCATTTTGTTTCCTACATCATCCACCATTTGATGCCAAGGTGGACTTTCTACCCATGTGGTCTAATTGCTGGGTTTTCAAACAGTTTTTACCTTTTAGGAAAAAAATGGAAATCAATTTAAAGAACGTTACAGCATGCATACCAGTGCAATCAACACCCTGAACCATGCACCCCAATACATTTAGCACATCTTACCATGCACCCTAATATAGTCACACCACACACCCCATTACACTCAAAATGCTGCGTCATGTGCCCCAATAAGCTTAGCACATCCTATTATGCACCCCAATACACTCAAGATTGCCCCAATCAAGCAAATAAGCTTAGCATTGGTACTTTAAAACACACACAGGGACCATGGGGAACAAAAGTAACCGCACTCCAGAAGGAAGGACAGTGTCAGCACCAATTCAGAGATGATTTGAGGCTCTACAGCTGAGTGATGCACAAATAAGATACATTTTTGTTAATAGTTAAGGTACTTGAGTGCATTTTTTAGGATTACTCCTGAGTTTAGCTCCACTTTAAAGGACACTGCTGGATAAATGACCCACATTGGGTCACTTCCTGGCATCAATTGCTCCATCCTAGTAAGTATTGTGACCTGACAAATATTAGTTTGCCTCATTCACACATTTATGTCTAAAATAGCCTTTTCTCCAGCTGATATAAAAATGAACTGCGTGTTAAATTTCTACAAATGTGTCGCCAGGTGAAAACACTGCACATGCAAAGAAATTGTATGTGTTAATAAGTTCAAATTATTATTGCTATAAGGGAAAGCTTTTTGAATTTGTTCAAACAGAAAAAAATATTTCATAGTAAATGGTAAAGATTTTGCGTAGAACACAAGGTTACTGCAGTTTCATGCACAGGACTTGAAAAATCCACTCGTCCTCTACAAGAGGACGACGGAGCCAGACAAGTAGCTTTTAGGCCGGCCGTTGTAATTAAACGGCTGGCCGGAAGCCTCTTGGATGACGGTTTACAACGGCGTCTCTAGAGATGCCCAATCGCTTGTAACAGCTGCGGTTTTACCCCCCCGCCGATGTCACTGCCGTTGCCGGTACGAGATCCACTGTGCCCAATGCGGACAGGACCGGCGCGGCTGCTCTGTGACAGAAGATCAAAGGAGATCGGTACATGATCTCCCTCTGATCCCCTTTCCGGTCCCTGAATGAAGGATCCCTAGCTGACTTTAGGGGTCTTGGAGACCCCTGATGTCTCCATAAAGAGGACATATCATGTAAATTGGCATTTTAGCCCTCTATGTAATAGCAATAAAGTTAAGTGTAAAAAAAAATTAAAAAGGAGTAATAAAAAAATTAAAGAAGCATAAAAAAAAATAAACACTACATTTTTTTGTAAGTCCCTCTCCCCCACATACACATGCAAGCATGCGTCGGGTGCGCCTACTTGCGAAAACGCCGCACATGTTACACATCACCGGGAACGTCGGAGTGTGAACAATAATTTTAGGACCATTAATCACTGATAACACTAAACTGATTAGCAGTAAAAGAGTGTAAAGTGTCGCCTATGGCAATTTTCGGTGTGATCGTTTTTTTTTTACAATTTTGCGGGCGCACGCAATTTTAAGGCTTGATAAGTTTGGTATCTATTTACCTGACGTGACCCCTGTCTTTTATATTTTACCAAAAATATGGGTAAGAATAAATGTTTTATAACATAACGAAGGGAATTTGTTTTTTCTTTTTTCGAAAGTTACGGTACTTTTTTTCATTATATAGTTAACAATTAACCCCCCCCCCAGTGATGATTATATACCACCAAAAGAAAGCTCTATCTGTCCCTAAACAATGTTAACATAAATTGCAAGGCTATAGTTAGGTCATTTTGACTGACTGGTGAGACACCCTAACATTTTTCAAGCCCATCAAGGTCCATGTATGAAAACTGGTTGATAGGAAAATTGAAGGCAATAGTCAGTGTGTTTCTATCTGTAATGCAAGCCATGCATACAGCAGTATCAGACAATTCTAACTGGTTTTCCATCTCAAAAACCACATTTTCATTTTATGGTTTCAGGAGGAGCTGTTTGTGATAGTCTGCATTGGTCCACATAGTAATTTTTTAAAATCTAAAGCTGGAAATTGCCATATGATATGCATGGCCAAGATTAGAGTACTGTATGCTTAGGGTGGCATCTGATACCCTTCAGACTAGCAAAACCAGGCTCAGATTAAATGGTGTGCCAGGCCTTATATTTCTAAGGCACATTGAAGAATAAGAGCACCTGATTGGTGGCTGTAAGCTGCACACATGCTTTACTAGTTCTGTAATTGCATCTTTGTGCATCTTTGTGCACATGCCAAATACAAGTTTTCATGGCAAGCTGCTATTCCAGGATATATTAAACAACTGGCCAGCTATCTCTGAAAATTGGCTTTTCAGGATGCAGTAGTGACATAAGATTCGGCGGCTGGAATCACAGTGTGGGGTGGTGGTGGAGGAAAGGAAGTAGGGGTAGCCATCAGACATTCCTGAAACTGTGCTAAATGCTGAAGATTACATAGATGGTATAGTTCTTCTAGATAGTGGCAGGACAGGTAAGTACTTTATATCCTCTCTTTTTTCTGGTTATTTTTTGTTTTTACAGTTGTTTTAAAGTGTATTTCCATTTTTACAGCCAAATTCTCTGTAAAAATTGAATATTGGCTATATTTGTTACATGTCTCTTATTCTCATAGCATAGCATAACTTAACTTTAAAAAAAAACTGCTTGCATATCAGTGGGAAAGAGTGAAACTTAAGTACCTAGGCGTCTACCTTACTAACAACTACCACACTCTGTTTGAAGCTAATTATCCGCCTCTTCGTCGTAAACTCCAGGCACTGCTCTCCGTTTGGTCTTCCTACTCACTCTCTTGGCTGGGACGGGTAGCGGCCACTAAAATGTCTTATCTCCCGAAACTGCTTTACCTCTTTCGAGTGCTCCCGGTGGCTGTACCCCCCCACTATCTGAACATCTTTCAGGGGCAAATCCTTAAGTATATCTGGCAGGGTCGTAAGCCCAGGATCTCCAAGACGATCCTACACCTGTCCCGTGGGGAGGGAGGCCTAGGAGTTCCCAACATAACTAAATATTACCAGGCAGCCCAAATTTCACAGCTACCGAA